CTTGTAAATATGTATTTTAGATTTGGAGAATTATTATTCGCGTACCTTACGGAGAATACCTTTCTTATTTCGTGAAAGGTATCAAGCTTTAGATCTTGACGTAACGATGGTTGCAACTTGCTCTTTTAGGTATCAAAAGTTACAGACGCAAAAATAAATTACATAACCAATTCCAAAAATTTCACCAAAACCTATTTTCTCTTGACATCGTGGCCTCTGCCTTTATTAATCCATAGGTGTCCCGCCTGGCCTCACAAATTGAAGCCAATTATGGCTAATAGGATATTAAAATGGGCCACGTTGCTATTTTTGTCTAAATAAATACCATAACTTTATAATTTTTAAGAGATACATGTAAGGTGGCCAAAGTTTAATTGACTACTTGATTTGAAAAGTCAACTAACCTATGTAATTAGTCGTCAATTGTACCGAAATACACGCTTTCCTCTAATAGGGAACACTGCCCACTCGGTGCCTTCTGATCATTCGAATTCTCCAAAATGCAAACTGCCTGCGTACAATTCGAGAAACAAATATTAAAACTGTCCTTTTTTTACGAATTTCCGCCCATGTTTGGGAACAGCCCGGGGGATAATAAAATCGTGCCATTGGCTACTAGAAATCGGATTTTGTCGAAACTTGGATTTCCTGGGTGGATTTCCTCAATTTTCCCAAAATATGTAGCCTTCAAGGTGGTTTCGGTCCTCAATATTCTTTACACTGTCGGAATTGCTTCAACTCTTGGGTTGTGCTATATAGGACAAATTCATATCAAGCTCGATGCCGTAATCACATTATGCATTTCTGGATTAAACGGGCTGTGCAATGTGTCATATAACGTCATATATTGCTTGTATTGGGAACAAATTGACTGGTTCATGCGAGGAGTTAAGGAACAGGGTAATAGCACTGAATTTTGTTAAATGACCTTTCGTATGAATTGACTATAGACAGAGGAAGATGCAATCGTTCAAACAATTGTCAACAGAAACGAGCCGTTGACATTGGGTGTATTCAATCAATATACAACTTTGTTATATTTTACGAAATACATATTCCAGCGTTTGTATTGATTATATTTTGCTTCGTAAACCATAAGAACCTTTAACCTAACCTCATAATTCCACTGCATTTAGTCGATATGGGTACACACATTTGATGGTTAATTCAAAATATAAGTAGCTTTACTGTTGGTGATTTTGTTTTACGAAATAAGAACATTTAAACACAGAACAGAACATAACAAAACAGAAACCAAGTAGAACCAGGGTACGAATTAACAAAAACCGTAGCGTATGTCGGGTTTTTTATGCATTTTATGCCTGCCAACAATGGGTGAATACTCCCAAGGCCCAACCTGTCAAATTAACCAAATTGTTATTTATTAATTCAATCAGTTAACCAATAACTTTGTTTAGAACTCTTGAAAATTTTCTGCATCATGGACCAAATATGAATTTGAGATTGATGTAAGCTGATACCGATTTTTTTTTCATTCCAACAGTTGACATTAGCACTACAACTGTAACCAAGGACAGGACACAATTCGCATTCATTTCGTACGGTTTCTTTTTCCTAATCTACTGTTTCCTGCTCTTCGCCATATCGCCCCTATTCAGACTAAAGTTGGATCCAGTGTATTATTTCCTATCTCCTCTCCAGTCTCATGGTGGATTACTAAGAAAGATGCTACGTGTATGCGTTGTAATATTACAAGGCTACCACTGGACGTTTGGGCCTTACATCGCTTTTCTCATTACGACCGAATTTATTTCAATGTCGGCAAATACATTAAATTTTCTGCCGAAACGAAAAAATTTGGATTCGTTGAAACACAATTCCGTCCGAATTTTGGTGAATTGTTTCAATCAAGTATTCGCATACCTTTATAGCTTCACACTCGGATGTTGCTCAGCGATGTACGTTAGTTTGATGAACGGCATGATTAAATCCTACGGAAAAATACCGTTGGGAGTGTATTCAGCTTTCCCCTTTGCAATAATGATGCTAACTTTATGCTGGGCGGTGAGATTGAACACGGCGTCAAAGGTTCATACAAAGTCAGGGGAGTATATCAGGATGCAAAAGAAGATGGAATGTGACAGGAAGCTTGCCGTCAGGGTATTAAGGTCGTTGAAAAGAATAGGAATTGTTTTTGGTAGTCTTGGCACGGTAACCAGGTTTTCATCGTTGCAATTGTTCGATGCGTGGATGGACCAGACGGCGGATGTCTTGTTAGCGTCGGGTTAGTGCGGGTTGCGATTGTTTGTTGTTGGTTGTGTTGTGGTTGTTGATTCCGATTGGTTTGTCCCCTTGTGCTATTATCTTTTGCGTTATCCCGTAATGTTCGATTGCTTTCGTTCATCTTGCTTGGTTTACAGGGGAGGGGGGGGGTTGATTTGGGCGAACCTCAAAAGTCTCCAAGAGAGATAAATTACTATAACTGTTGGATTACTTAATAAAACATTTTGTAGTGGAAGTTATCAAACTACTTACTTGTTAGAGTGGTAGAAGATACTGTATACAATTCTTCCAATTTTTCTCACCTACGAATGGAACTTTTTTGTCTGAAACGTGCACCAAATATGACGCCCATCATTCGTAAATACTTGAATGCATCGTTTCTTCCTTCATAATAAAATGCTCGCCGGCTCTCCTGCTCTCCCTGCAGAGTGGAGAGAGAAAAGGAGAGGCTAACTTCTCAACTAAGCCACCGACCCAGCAGCGATATACTCGCCTGCTTTATATAGTTTAGATTATTTTAAGCATTTATGAACCAGTCTAGGATTTTAACGGTTCGATGTAAAAGTTCCTGAGTTTTTGTAGTATCAGGAGCAATATTATCTTGCACTCTTTGCTGCATACTCCCGCGTTTTCTTCGCAGTACGGCAGGAAATCTCATGTTCCTCTGGTGCGGACTGAGGTTCAGGTTCAAAGCAAAGTGGCAAAGTTCAATTTTAGGTAAATTTCCTCTCGCTTTTTTTTTACCGGCCAAACACCGAGTCGAACGTATGAACTTTGTCCCCAATATATTTTTTAAAGGACCATTCAACAGGCACATAAGTGTCATGTGAATCTTAATTTTTCTTTTATTATTTTATGTACATAACTCCTACGAAACTCCTGTGAAAGTGGTAAAACCAGCAATAACGGATTTAACGAGTAAATGTCATGCTTTACTATAGACAAGCATGAGCGGTATTGCATTGATAATGCAATACCTGTAGATTTTGCAGCTAATTTAAAATGTTCATTATATTATTGATTTCACTACATCCCGACGGAAGGAGTGTCATCAAAGTAAGTTTCAAATCAATTTTCCCATTTTAAATTTGCTGGGTCGCCTGAAACCTAAAAATATTAAGGCAGGTATACCCACTTATTACAACGGTCTCCGACCAAACATTTTTTTTCGTGTGCAGTGAAACATGAGGGTAAGAAAATGGTGAAAATGTTGGCAACAAAATGTTGCCGTGTACAATACTTAGGAAACATTCATTAATCATGTAGAAAAGAAATGCCGATTTTTCAAACCCTGGTTCCTCGTGGTCACGCATTTCACTATCTTTTAACAGGAACCACAAATCGGCCTGTCACGCAAAGCAATGTGATATGTTTCACATAAATTTATGGACATTCCCTTATTAGCTCACCCTGCGTAGCACGGGAGCTATTGAATTCCTCTTGTCCGTCCGTCCGTCCGTCTGTCTGTTAACGACCTTTTTGCATCAATTGATGCTAATTAAACAGCCCCTTGACCATTATTGGATACGTTAGGCGCACCATTGGTACTAAACAAACCGAATCAAATTTTTCAACAAGTTAATAGGACCATTGATATCTAACAATCGGGAACACAAAATGATGCGAAATAATTGGAGGCAGGGACGCAAAACGCACCAATAATGCAGAATATCCGGGAGAAATGATCATACAGTTTTGACATAAATTTTTCAAAATTATCGTTGATTGTTCGTAGGTAATTCTGCACCAGTGCACAATTTTTGGACGCTTCTCGATGCATAATAATTATTGATCTATTTTGTTTAATTTTTCTGCACCATTGGTGCAACATTGCATAAAAATTATTGATCCACTTTGTTGGATTTTTCTGCACCATTGGTGCATAATTGCAAAAAATTATGTATCTATTTTGTTGCATTTTTCTGCACCTTTGGGGCAAGTTATAACCAAATCATTATTACAGGGTGAGCTACTTCTAACGTTACTACGGTTTATTTATTTCGAAAGATAGCTTCTTTACGCATCAATGATTGGGTAGAATATATAGATTACATAACTAACAATGGAGGCGCAAACCATGTTCAGCCCGGATAATTTTTTGACCTTACTAGTTTGAAAGAGCAAGTCTTTAGAAACAACATTTGGTTCGGCACTTGCGCAGATGCGCAAAATTCAGCACGTTATGGGCGCCGCTAGTTCGCAAAAACGCACGAAGTTGAGCTCGCGCTGGCCATTGCCCGAAAAATCGTGCGTTTCTGCGAACTTGCGGCGCCCATAACGTGCTGAATTTTGCGCATCTGCGCAAGTGCCGAACCAAATGTTGTTTCTAAAGACTTGCTCTTTCAAACTAGTAAGGTCAAAAAATTATCCGGGCTGAACATGGTTTGCGCCTCCATTGTAAGTAATATTAGATGTTAATTTGTCTCTCATGACTTCACATACTTGGAATGCCTCATGTAAATAAATAAATAGGTATTTATATAAAAGTCAAGTTTATAACCTTTACTTACTGCATATCTGTAGATTTTTACTTTTCGCAATTTTTATTACGATTCGAATCGTCAACTTATATTCGCATTATCAAAACTATCTTTTTCGTTACTAAAATAAAAATTGATTTTTAATTATATTCATTTGTTTCATTAATTATTATCGTTATTCGTTTTTTCATGCAAATTTCCATGAGAATCTTACAACCGCAAGAAGGCCGAAGGGAGACAAAGTGTGGTGGTAGAAATTTGCCCTCGTTTGCTTCACACATTCATTCGTTGCTGTCGAGCGAAGGAGAAGAGAAAAAATAAATTTATTTTTTTTCTTATTTATTCGATCGAATTTAAATTTAATTACACAATAATTATAATTGAACTAATTTCCACTCGCTGTTTTCCTCTTCTGTCTATTCCAGCGAGCAATTAATTATGTCTGCCGTTTTGGAGGTAAGTTACTAATAATTTTTTTAATGAATAAAAACTCAAAATTAACCTTAGTTTTGACATTTTGAAATATGAAATAATTAATTAATTATCCCATATTATTGTCTAAGGCAGGAGAACCCACAATTTCCAGCCGAGAAGATGCCCCCCACGAAGAACCATTTCTTAACCCCGATGTATAAAAACTTATTTCGCAAATATGTATTCCATACGTTTTTTTTATTTTTCAAGTTTTTTTACCGATTTTTCAGGTAATTGGTCACATTTGCAAATTCCTGGGCACCTCCGACATCAAAAACTGTCGGCTTGTCTCCTCTCCTTGGAATTATGGAGCTACCCCCATTCTAAAAGTGAGGTCAAGGATAACCCTCGAATTTTCGCCGGGATATGATGACGATGGGCACCCTTTCGGAGCAGATTTGGGCGGCTGGGACATTTCCGACGTGGTAAAAAAGCTGGAATTTTACCCGGGCAACGTCCGTCTAGCGATTCCATCCACCGAATATAATCTGCCACCCCCGGATTTCGCCATGTTTCCTTTCGACAACAATTTTAAATCAATCTGTGTCCAGTACCCGCTCGGCGATCAGTTTCATTGGCAACGAGAATTATTTACCAAATTTATCCTGTCGTCGTCCACAACTTTGGAACAATTAAAATCTGAATGGCTGGAAGACGAGGTTTCCCTCGATTTCCCCCTACTGGGGGGCACAGTCTTCCCAAAATTGACGAAATTAGGGGTCGGGCGGTACTTCGATTCTGACGGAGCGGTCAAAAGAATTGGTCGCGCGATTGCGGTATCATTCCCGAACCTGAAATATCTCAAGGCAAATTGTGACTATTTAGTGGCGATGTCAGAGGATGGATTATTACCAAATTTATCGCGGTAAGTTATACACATTTTTGGATTCAAAATTGTAAATTGAGTTCTTCTTTTACTAACGACGGAGGTGTCCCAGCGTATGCTCTCAGATTTTGAGTACATAAATCAGTATCAGTCAATCGATAATAAATTTAGTTACTGTTAAATTTTCGAAAAAGCACACGAACTGCTAATGCAACTAAATAGAATACAACGCCGAGTAAAGTTACAGCTTGTGGCCGATTTAATCCTAATTAAATTTATATAAGGTGACCATATATTTGTCCAAATTTTGAACAATGGAAATTATTATTAATGGATATTATGGACATTTTCCATTTCCGGTTCAGATATCACCCAATTTCTAGAAAAAATCAAGGAAAAGCAATGAAGTAAACATTATTACAGGCACGTTGCTGGTATGTATTAGTATGTGCTAAAGTCTACTTTTTCGTCAATATTTTGGCGAAAAAGTGAGATAACTTTTAACTTTAATTTTTTCCTACGATTTTATATATAAACCGGGACATTTTCGGGACAGGTTTTGAAAACCGGGACGGATGGTCATCCTAAATTTATAATCGAAATCGAGGGGGAGGGACACTAAATTGCTCAAAATCTGAGACCATACGCTAGGAAATCTCTTTCCTCTGTAACTTATTTAAATTGATTTCAGGTCCCTCACGTGCCTGAAATTGGGCGGAGATTTGAACACGAATGGGTTGGAATGTCTCCTCAAAATCCCTGCCAGTTTGAAGAAATTCGTTTTGGGGAATGGACACCCTCTTGAGTTTGAAATTGACGATCGTGTCGACGAGCTACCAACCATTTTCTACAAATTATTAAAGAAACACGCCCCCACGTTGGAACACCTGGACCTCGACATGAGCTGGATAAACGAAGAGGAAAACCATCTACAATGGAAATTTCCCGTGTTTCCCGTCTTGAAAAAACTTTGCCTCGATTATGCCGACATGCTGACAGACGTCGTGTTCGAAAAATCTGGATATTTTGGGCCGATTAATTACGCCATAAATTTCCCAGTTTTGGAAACCTTGTATATTTTCTGTAGTACGAAGGAGGCGTCCAGAGTGGAGGCATTCCTTCCGCCGGAAATGAACTGCCAAGTTGTCCCGTCTGTGAAGCAGGTTGACGTGAGGATTCGTAATTATCCAGGTGTACTTGATCAAATTAAGATTTATGTCCGAATTATGGCGCTTTTTCCGAACGCGAGAGATCATGTGGTCTCGAATTTACAGAGATTACTTAATCTTGCGTAATTATGATATGGTTGTTACTCATTTTATCGGCATTCTTTTCCATTAGTTATGCAAATATGTGTGTGGTTACTTATAATTTAATAAGTTTGTCAGTTTCAAAAGTGTAAAATAAGTATGATAATGGTCTGCGGAAAGACAGAAAGATATAAAAATACAAGAAATTGTACTAGTTATATGGTTAAAATTAATTTTGTCTTTTATATCAATGTTTCATAAATCTGTTACCTTGCGTCTATTTTATTGGGGCCATGGCAGGACTTAAATATTCATACATGCCAAAAAAACTCCGGCTTATGTATAATGTATAAGAAATTAAGTAGGAAATATAGGGATGAATCGAGCTCTAATTGTAGCGTCGGAGGTACATATGGCCAAAAATTCCGAGGCGGTTTTTCATGACGCATTTTTATCTGTTGCTAAGGTATTTTTTAACGTGTCCTAGGAGTTTTTTGACTTTCGTATAAGGAATTTGTTAAGGTTGCTAAGGAATATGTGTGACGTTGCTAGGCAATTTTTTAACGTTTCTAAGCAATTTTATAAGGTTGGTAAGGAATGAATCATACTGACAAGCATGCAAAGTTTGTCCGCCCTTGGTTGTGCATAACATAATTGCACATAATTATGTGCAAGTTAAGGCAATGTATGTACATATGGTTACGTCGGAAACGTAACGAATTCGCGGAAAGGGCGAATAAACATATTGAATAAATGAATGAGATGCGTCGACTTTGGATCCAGTTTTAAAGGTAAGTTTTTATGCGGTCGAATAAGAAAGTATTCGAAATGCTCGGAATTTCAGATAATATTGCCAAGAACGTGTAATGCATTTTTATTTATTGTTTTACATATCGAAATCAAAATAATTGAATAATCCATACAATTTTTTAGAGGTTATAGTTGGCCAGAAATTACATGTTTAAGATAATGTACACTTAACAATTTTTGAGACAGCCCTAGCCAGAGGCGCATATTGTAGTGCTCTATGCTTCGTTAACGATTATGGAAACGTTTTGTCGACGAAGGGCAAGAAGTTGAAAAAAACTCATGTACCAAGCACACGTGGCGTCGTTATTTTAAATAACTAAACGTGCCAATGATATGATGTTAGCCTTTTTACACGAAAGTACTAAGTTTTAAGTAACAACTTCAAGTAGGCTTCGGTTAACCAGTTCCTAATTTCGCATTGGTGACACACCGTCTCCTAAACCATTACCCAAAAATAATTATTTAGAGTGTATAAGGACTACATTAAAGTGGGAAATCAATTTGGTTACATCGTACAGTGGGGAATAAAGTTGAATTAAGTAAATTGAAGCTAGCCTAGTACTATACGCTTTACTTTGAAGGCTTACCAACGGCTTTCGTTAAACTCTGGGTAATTTCTGATAAGGTATCATTCTCAGACACCTCCACAACGACGCCATACAGTGTATGGAGTTTGTTTTTTAGCTCAATTCGCATTAACGAGTCCATCCCAACATCGGTCAATACGGCCCGTTGGAGCTTAGTGTGATCACGAATACGTAACATTTTAGATAAGAGATTAACTACAACTTCATCTAAACTCTCCGATCCAAGATGGTCATGATTTTGCACGTCAGCGGTTTTCAAATCTGCTGCCTCGATATTGTCATTAGTTTTAAAGTAGTTTCGGAACCACGATGATTTCACGTCGTCGCTCAGTTCGGCAGCCATAACATTGTTCCCAATTTGGATTGCGTTTCGGAGAATATGAATCATCGTATTGATCCCACGTGCGGTTGAAAACGGTTTCACTGCAAAAACAGTCCTCTCCCAACCACCAACCATTCCAATCTCGCCCCACTGACCCCAGGCGATGCTTGTTGCCTTCAGTCCAAGACGATGCCTATAGTCAGCAAGGGATGCGAGTGAATCATTAGCAGCTGAAGAATTTGTTTGTCCAGGCCCACCAAGAACCCAACTGGCAGATGAGTAAAGCACAAAGTGCTCTAGATTCAAGCCAGACGTTGCTGCATGAAGAGCCCATGCGCCTCCTGCCTTTCCCGCCCATACTAAATCCATTTTTTCCATCGTCATATTTGGGATCGTTGCATCCGAAAGAACTCCAGCCGCGTGAAAAATACCCCTAAGTGGCGGCATGCCTCTGGAAGTAATTTTTTTAATTATTTCATTCACACCGGCAGATGTTGAAATATCACCATATTCCACGACAACTCCGGCAAACTCGTCCTTAGCATTATGGCAATGCCCATCACGTTGCCTCAATTTGGAGAGTACGGCTTCCTGCCCACCATGACGTCTGCTCACTAGGACCAGATGCTTCGCTCCGTTCAGTAACATTAATTTAGCCAGCTCAATTCCTAGCTCGCCGCATCCTCCGGTAATCAAATATGTGCTTTGGTCATTAAAGATATCTTTTGTCCACCTAATGACTACTTTTCCTATGTGTACTGCCTTTTGTAGGTGTTCAACGGCAGAAATTATGGCTGGTGGTTCAAAGACAGAGTAAGATATTGGCTTCAGTTTGCCGCTGCCCAGCCAGCTTTGCAATTCATGTGCTAAGTAGATCGTACGGGCTTCGTCTAGAATACTAAGGTCTACAACCGAGTATGTAACATCTGGTCGTAGGTGTTCAACCTCCGTGTGGCTCCAAATATTTAATTTGCTCATCTCTACGAATCTGCCTCCTTTTCTAGTCACTGACATCGACGCCTCTTTCCAACCATTTGACGTGAGTGAGTTGAGGACGATATGGACCCCAGAGTCTTTTATTGCCTTCTGAACCCCGGCAATAAAACAGGAAACATCTCTGCTGCTTGTCACATTTGTCAATCCTAGTACGTTGGTTAAATATGCCCTTTTCCTTCGGCTACCAGCGGTGCACACTATATTAGCTCCAACTGCAAGCGCAATTTGAACTGCAACAAGGCCAACACCCCCAGATGCGGTGTGGATCAAGACCCATTCCCCACGACTCAATTTACCGACTGTAATAAGTGAGTGATACGCGGTGTAAAACGCGGTCGGTAAAGTGGCTCCCTCCAGATATGTCAGCTTTTCGGGGAGTAAGGCCACATGAGATGAGTTAATTTGAACAACGTTTGGAAGTGGAGCTAGCTCCATATTCATTGCTAGAACAACGTTTGCACCAACATGTAAGTCACGAACCGCCGATCCCACTCGGATGACTTCTCCGCAAATGTCTGCCCCAATGGATGACGCTGACGCAAATTCTACGGTTGGCTTCAGGATGTTTGAAATATCCTTGAAATTCAGGCCTGATGCTTGAACCCGGATTTGAATCTATTAAGAAAGAATATGTATAGTTAAAATATATTTACAAAGTACTCTCATTATTTATGTCGCTGTCTTGCCTGGTTTTCAGCCAAGGGCTCAGCCCCCACGCTTGCGAGGGAATCATCCCATTGTAAGTCTTCCATAGCACAAGATTCTGGTAGTCTTAGTTGAGCAGGATATCCTTGCGGCAATGTAAGCATTGGATAAGGGGATTCGAGAGGAACTAGTCTTCCTACATAGCGAAATCCCCTTCGATAGGTTACAAATGGGGCCTGACTACGACCACGTTGTGTTCCTCTATTATTTATTTCCGCCACTAGCTCCTGAACATGTTGCAGGGTGGCTTCATCGGGATCCAGGTCCACCCAGGTAATGTCCAGTTGCAGAATTTCGTTGGCCAGAGATCTCGAAAAACCACGGAATGGACCAGCAACTGGATAACGGGCTTCCTGATCGCCCACGGGAATAAGACCATGACTCACGAGTATGACTTTAACCCTTCCAACCGATGTCAACTTCCGTGAAAAAGAGAGAAATTGTTCTAATTGTTCTCGCACCTGATCCTGGTCCGGAATATTATCTTCCAAGATAATATTCCGGAAGAGTATCCGGAAGAGTTCCGCAAGAGTGCTTGTGGAAAGCAATATACAATTTTATCTTCCGATTGAATTGAAATTGGTAGATCACTAATCTTGCGTAATGTCGCATATTCTTTATTTGAAGCTACAAGTTGGTTCGCAAGCTCATCCTTGTCACGTGTAGAAATAACAATGTAAGGTGGTGGTGAGATATCCTTGTTCTTGGCGATAATTATGACGAATTTGAAATCGGTATTTTCCACAATTGATACTTCCCCATATCCATTGGACTGAAGAACTGTCTTCCACGTGTCCCCACCGATTAAACAGTGGTCTGACCGGATATCGTCTTGGAAAAGCCAGTATCCCTTGCAATGGCCGAATATGATATCAGTAAATGCAGAGGGCTGAAACTGTTCGGCGATGAGTATATGACCTTCCGGGCTAAGTAACATTCGTAGATTTCCAACGACTTTGTCTAGGTTGGTGGTTGCATGCAACACGTTAATGGCAATAATAATGTCAAAGGCCTCCTTCGCGAATCCTTGATTGAGAACGTCTTTCTCCAAATCCAGGACACAGAAGTCCACTTGTACCCCTGGAACATGCGGTAGAGAATCTTCGGCCCGATTTAGTAAGCTACTTGAGACATCTGTGAAGGTGTAAGTGGATGAAGAATCTTGAAGGTGGTGAAGCACTTCGCGAGTCGTGGAGCCAGTGCCTGCCCCCACTTCCAGAATACGGAGTCGCTTAGTTTTGTCTTTTGGAAAAGAAGCAAACACGGCAATAAAGTTTTCGATAAGATTGTAACATACTGTAGATGTGTACAACCGCTCGGCCGAAAAATTAATATTGTCGGAAGTTTGGGTAGCAAAAATTTCATTGGGTTGATCCAACGACGGTAAGGATGGGGGGAAGAGATGGGGAAGAATTAAATCCGGCTCTTGAAGAATGCTGACCAGTTTAGAAATGTAAAATTTTGTGAAAGCCCAATCCTCTCGTAAAATCTCATGATTACTTTCCAATGACGTCTCCGTTAAACAGTCCGCGTAAGGCAATACAATGTATTCGGTTGGGGAATATTCCGTTAATAGCCCTGCTTCCCCAGCATATTTAAGCAACCTTGCCAGGAAAGCAGGTGATTTAAGCCGAGATGACATGCAATTTCCCTTCGTGTGATCCGCTGATCGGGCGTGAAAGTGGAAAACCCCAGTGAATTTAACGTTTCTGCAACGCGCTTACCGATGTATGAAGTAATTCGCTTATGCTCTTGAATTTCTTCGGCAGTCCTGGAGATGGCCTCACATGCCGTTATAAATGTAGAGGTACTGGAATTCATAGCTTCATCCTCTTTTGTCCACTCCTCGACAAAGAGAGGTAGCAGCTGGTCACTCTCCTTATGCCCAGTCGTTTCATTATTTCCTTTAACCATTAGTCGAATCGCGTTCGAGGTTGTGCTGACCGTGATTAAATTGCTCATGGATGCTAAGGCACGCCAATTTGAATCTGTTCCTTGAATAAACACTGTGGAGGAGTTCAGTCCTGCCTGGACACAGAACTGTCTGACACAAGTATTCTTGCCAACATTATCGGAAAGATTAGAAACTAGTTCGAATTCTGAGATTTTCACCGGAACCCTCAAGCTTGTGAGTGATTCTTGTTGTGCCAGTAGCGTGATCTGTATGAGAGCATCCAATATGATGGGATGGACCATAAAGCTCCCTCCTTCACCCGCATCTTGACCAAATATAGGTGTGGTTACATCTGCTTCGAGCGTGCAATTGTTCGATTTTAAATTTAGAAGGGATCTGAATTGTGGACCAAATTTATATCCCAAGTCCGATAACCCAGCATACGGGGATGCATAGATCGGAGTACTCCGGGCTTGGAGTACGTACTCCGGCCTCCGGAGGCCGGAGTACGCAGCTTTTTCTGGAGGCCGGAGTACGCGGAGGCCGGGGTACACGTGGCCAGCCGGAGGCCGGAGTACGCATGGCCGGCCGGAGGCCGGAGTACGCATGGCCGGCCGGAGGCCGGAGTACGGAGGCCGGAGTACGCAAAATTTCCGATCGCATAGATAGGAGAATTCCGGGCTTGGGGTACGTACTCCGGCCTCCGGAGGCCGGAGTACGCGACTTTTTCTGGAGGCCGGAGTACGCGGAGGCCGGAGTACGCGTGGCCAGCCGGAGGCCGGAGTACGCATGGCCGGCCGGAGGCCGGAGTACGCAAAATATCCGATCTATGTGCGCGTGTGTATCAGTTATTAATATAAACGTAAATGTGTCTCATTTAACAAATAAAAATCTGTAGCATGCCAGGAAATTTACTGGCTAATGTCAACCCTTCTTATTGATAACGCTTGTGCATCTCCATATGAGATTAAGATGATGTCTGTACATATATATATGCTGCAGTACTTGGCGATGATACAAATTCATCCAATCAGATTTACTCAATGGTCCTATTTGCGTTCGCCACACTCTCTACAAAGTTTTTATTCTTAGAATTTTATCTCCTGAAATGCCAAAAAGTTTTTTTATTTCGTAGGATTTTAGATTTTCTTTATCTCGAAAGTATGTAGCTTCGTCATACTAGGTATCCATCGCATTTATTTTAAATTTGCATGCAATTACCATTTGTACGAACATAGGTACATATATACAAACTTTTAAATTCTTGTGTGATTTTGTCAATAAGTAATGTACGCATAATTAATTTGTATCGCTTGGTTGTATAATTTATTTGAATAATAGTAAAAAAATTGTAATACTCTTAATGTATATGCCGAATAAGGTCTAAATCATATATGTACACTCAAAGCAAAAATTTGTCAAATCAACACCGCCGGTGTCAATATATGACTGAACCGCCTTGGTTACAATGTTGAGTTCGAGTTCTGATGATTTTGATACCAGTGGTTATATTGTTATGACCGGACGGAAAAATTTCATTACCACTCGGAATCACAATTGTAACCAAGGCGGTTAAGTCATATATTGACACCGGCGGTGTTGATTTGACAAATTTTTGTTTTGTGTGTACCCTACCATACCATACCATATAATTTATTTGTCGCCTTATCATGTAAGGTACATATGTATATATTTACTCATGGGACGTGGATCTCAAAGTTATTATCAGATTTTGCACACGCATTATTAATACGGCGTAGTCGTCCTATATTGAAGAGACAGTTGGAATTCCAAGCATCCTTACACACACATACCTACATACATATGTATAACTAGAACTATAGACTATAACATAACTGACTGTACATACGTGTAATTATATAATGCATTGTAACCACTTGAAACAACTGGGTGAGCCTGGCCACCAATTTAATTCCAAGAACTGCCTTATCAGGTACTTATCACAAAATTTTCAATGAATTTGTTCCAAGTTTGCCCAGGTGACGCAGATCGAATAGGTATAAAACGAAATCCTGGGGTGGAAAAATATTTATTAACGAGACTGGATCAGATCAGTCTCCAACCTACATAAATATTTCCCCTGTTGCATAAATATTTGCTACATACATAAATGGGCTCGTCATCAAAAAAGTTACACTTCACCCTGTTGCTGGGAGTTGTCTTTATGGCTACTTTATTTTCAGTAGAGGGCGCTGTAATCGACCCATTCAATCATGGGGACCAAGCCATCGTGCAACTCGGTGTTATTTCGCCCCTGCCGAGATCTTGTGCCTTTAGTAAGATTCTGCTTATTCTGTAGCAAAGGTAATTTTCGTTATATCCTCATTGTGCATTGTATATTTATGCACTACTTTCTTCTTCATGTGTTATTAATATTTATGAATAAGGCGGTTTCTGATCGTAGATATTAAAAATTCCTATGTTTGATTGCACAGGCGAAACTGCAACCCTCGTCAAGATGGAAGTAACTAGCTGCACAAGTCAACCATGCCTGATGAATGTCTCAAATACGTATGAGATGTCACCAACTTTCATACCAGGTAAAGCCTCTTGCCAAAACTAAATGGTCCTGGTCGGGTCAATTTTTACTAATTTGGCATGTTAACTAATATAAAAAGGGTGCACCATGCTAGCCAAGAATTTGATGCATTTGGATAGGTAAAATATGTTAATTCAGAAATAGTTCATCGCCCAATTTGCGCCAGCCACACCCGCTTAATCACATACAACCATAAAAACCTCCGTTTTCAATTGTTCGCCAAAACTCAAACTTTGACAATGGATTTTTGCGTTTGCATTTTCCAGATTAAGAAAATAGATTTTCTGGTGGATGTTGCAATGATCAAAAACAGTTTTTTGTGCTTACGGGATGGGTGTGGCAAGGGCAAGCGGGGCTATGCCTGCTTGGTTTATAGCGTTTCTTCCTCAGCATAATTCGTAAAAACTCAGGGTTCAAATACAAAGTTGACCACCCTCTTTTTGTTATACGATAAATTCGACCCATGTAAATAATTTCAAAAAATAATTGTGAGTGTAAAACAGCCAAAATTCTCAGAACACAACAACTTTCTTTAGTTGCATACGTAACCTTTGTGCGGCTTGAGGTCAAACAATTATAACCTTTGGTCCTTGTCAGTATCGTTTGAAAGTGGAAATATTATCTTATCACAAATGCGAGTGGATATAAAATCTCCAAATCTTATCTCTACAAGTGTATGACACATAACTTGGTGGAAATGGGGCAACTGTGCAAAAACTTAAAATTTACATCCTCCGTAAATAAGCACGACCTGAATATAAATTGAATATGTTTGCAGGATATAGCTCCAACACCACGCAATATCAGCTTCGTTTTTATTACGAAAGTAAGTTATACATCTTTGCCCTTATTTCGCTCACGGACTCTTTCATCGCTGGCAGCCAGTACAAAATATTGCGACAGATTGTGATTCCTAGTGAACTTGGAGGGGTACGTACATACATACATAATTCATTTGTTGTTCTACGTATAAATAGAAATTTGTTAATTAGTATTTGTTCCGCGATGCATTTAACAATATTGTATTTTATAATTTAACAGAAGTCTGGTTATTTCCGGGTGGTACTATTTGACTTATCAGGTCGATATCACGTTAGCCGTTGTTTCGACGCTATGGTAGGCAACTGATAGGTACATTTATGAATTTTTCTTTCGCACTGGATGCATTCGAACCAGCTAATTAATTCTAAACACAAATTCCATTTTGTTTTCAATACCTCTAGAAATTTGTAAACAAATAATAAATGTATGTATTTTACATAAGTACTTCATCGTTGTATTGATTCTACCATTTATTAATGTTTAAATAAATTATATCACGATAATGACAAAACATCAATTAGAAATAAATTATTAAATACCAGACGTGTTTGTGCAGCAAATCCAAAAATTATATTTTTTATAACTTTCCGTTTCTTTGATGATTAATTACTCACCCGACACGAGTGGGAAATGAAACGGTATAAGATATTTTCACAATTTATGGGGCTTCCTTCAATCATGTCATCCGGGAATTCCTCTTTAAATGACATATTATTATACATATTGGACCGGGAGTTAAATGTGAAAAAATAAAACTAGACATTTTTATAAAAACTAGAAATTCTAAAATTTTATATTATACATAATTGTATGAACTGATACAGACATAAGTATACCCACTTATGTTGCGAAAATAATTATTGACTCACAATTCCTTCAATTGAAGAGTTTAAAGCTACTTGATTCCCGACGGGGTGAGCATCGTAAACCGGAAATTATTGTTCGGGGTAAGCATGGGGCTTTGTTCGTAATCTAATCAAATGTTAGCTAATGAATGTTTTCTCCTACTAACAATGCGACGGTGTGAGGTGGTTATCGGCGATATCCACCGGACTAATTTTAAATTGTTCACGTTCAAAAATAAGTGGACCCGTATTTTTTTGTTTTCTTGAGTGGGCATGTTTACGCCCTTGCCGGAATTTTGAAAAAAAAATTTCATCCAAAATTCGGATTTTTAAAAACGCTGTAACGCTGTAACGCTGAATTTTAACCCGATTTCAAAAAATAAACCCATTCTTGGTTCAGAATTACATCCCTGAAAATATAAGAATTCATTTTTTTAAATTTTAAAAATTTCCATGCTATTTCTGAATTTTTATAAACCCAAAAAACGATAATTTTTTGAAAATTAAAAGTTTTTTAAAATGAATTTTTATATTTTCAGGGATGTAATTCTGAACAAAAATTGGGTTTATTTTTTTAAATCGGGTTAAAATTCGAAAAGTTACAGCGTTTTTAAAAATCAAAATTTTGGCTGAAATTTTTTTTTGAAAATTCCGCCAGGGGCGTAAAAATACCCATTCAGGAAAACGAAAAAATACGGGTCTACTTATTTTTGAACGTGAACAATTTAAAATTAGTCCGGTGGATATCGGTATCGATAACCACCTCACACCTCCTCATTGTAAGTTTTCCAACGTAGAGGAGAATTTCTTACAGTGATTGCAAGAAATTAGAAATTCTGTAATACCCAAGTTACCGTTTGGGATCGTCCATATATTACGTCATCAAAAAATCGTGAAAAAACCACCCACCCACCCCAAAATCATCAATCGTCATCACAGCTCAAAACCACCCACCCACCCCCTATGATGACGTCAACATATTAAATATTAAAATTTTCAATCGATATAGCTAATATATATTGTTCTTTATTTTTAAAGGTGAAATACAGCTTATTAACGAATACATTTATAGGTAATACGTATTTAAGTCAAAAGAATAACACAGTTATAACCGGTATTAATTACTCTGAAGAATGGCATGTATGTAAGCTTCCGTATCATTAATGAATAAAATTGCACCGGTAACTTCCATTTCTACAATTTTATTGATCGGCAATATGCATTAAATTTTAATCTCTCTGGAACTTTTTATGTTCAACTAACTAATCTAAATAGATTTGGTTACAAAATTTCTCTCGCATTTGTTGCATGTGTGTTCACAAATTGTGGCCTGAACTGATGGACAATACGTCAAAACATTTTGAAGGATTTTCTAACAGAACTTCGGAGTCAATTCTTGTGAAAAGATCGAAGAAATGTCTTTTGTCGATTGATTCGGAAATGTGAAGTCCAGTTTCAGTTCTTATCAGTGTTTCTTTTTGTGCACACGAAATTATTTTTACGCATGCATGGTACATAAAAATGCACGAAAATGCATACAAATAACTAAAATACAATTTATGCAGAAAATTTCATGGTTTAGAGGAATTTTATATTTTCTTACCCTCCAAAATGAGAGTAAAATTCAGTTATCTAAGCTTATGTACTGGTTTGAAACCTTACCAATGTACTATACATGTGCATGTATCCATCACAGTAGTTGACATCGATTACACTAGTAAAACTTATCCTATCCATTTAGAATTTAGTACGCATATCGAATAACATGGAATTAATACTCGCCAAGAACATTGCAAACAAGTGACAAGTGTTTGTGTTGTTCATTTATTTTCAAAACTTTCGTTTATTTTTCGTATTGAAAAACTGTTTTACACAAAAATGCTGAAATAATGAAGCAAATTTAATACAACAACAACTTTTCAATTAATCGAATATTTAGAAAAATTGCATTAGTTCAATATTATTTGAGCATAAATTATTGTAATTAATTTTCGTGCACTTTTCCGAATTTTTAAGAGGTGTTATTAAATGTTGGAAAACATTGTCCTGCATACCTGTTCAAAATTTTTTTCATTCATAATTCAATCATCCTGATTTCTGAGTGAAGATTTTCATTCACATTCAGTCATTGTCTTTCAAGCTCATTTCATTTCACTTCATCTGACTTCAATTATTACTTCGTCCCATGTATTAAGCATAGGATGAAAAATTAAATGAGTGAGAAATCCTTGCATTCACAGTCATTTATCTGAAATGACGGAATCTTTCACTCATTATCATTCAAATCACGGGAAATACATTTTCATTCACTATCATAATCAGTCACATGAATGAAAGTGAATAGGTATGTTTTCGTGCACTAATTTAGTGCAGGTGTTATTTAACATTAGAAACAATGGTTCTAACTAACGGAATTGGTGCGGGCAAAAATTTTTCCCTCAAGGACTCATGCATATTTGTTCTTGTTTCTTTTCAACATTTTTTATCGCTGCATTTGACAATTTATGACAGGTACTTCGACTTTTTAGCTTGCTTTGTTTTCTAATCTTCGGTTAGGAAATCGAACGCCGAGTCGAAATCGAAATCGAAGGCCGAACTTTTTAAATTAAAGATTTTTCAGCAGAGCTCGAAAATTTCAGATACAAATTTGTAACTCCAACAATCCTTAGGTAGAAATTTATGTCTTCAGAACGTTACAATAAATATGTCGATTTCGAAAAAAAATTAAATCATAGTTCTGAAAACTTCTCCACTTATAAGTTTCAGGTTTTTCTCACATTGTACGTTTGTAGTTTTTATGTTGTCCTTAATTTCCTGTCAAGGGGTGCAACAGGACTTCATTTGGTTTAGCTTGATAAATATGCAACTGGTGCTTGCATGCCAGGAATTAACTTGAATCTGTCTATCCGAAAATGTGCATATGAAATTCTTTTCTGTGATTTTGAACGGCAGAACGGCTGAAAAAGTTGAATCAATTTGCTCAATTTTTGTAATGTTGGTTAAAATTTTTTGCCAAATTTCCACCTTAGGAGACAACGTTATAATTTAAGTAAACCCAACAAAACTGACAGCTTATTTTTGTGCTTTAGCAATTGAAAAATAGTCCTGCCAAAATCAGGAAAAACCAGTTTAGGCAAGTGCATTGTAAAGTTACTGAATTGAAACACTGATCATGCGACGTAATTGTTCCCGAAGAAGTATTTTTAAAATCGATCTTACTAACTGACCACATTATCCAATATATTTTCGACTTTTATGCATAACTGTGCCAAAATTCGAAAATTTTTAATGATAATTTCTCCAGTCAGAAACTCGTTTAGTACGACGAATATAGATCCGTCTCTTATTTCCAATTTAAAATGACAACTTAGAATATCACATCTAGTGAAATGCATTATTAATACTTGAAAATAAAAATTTCTGAAGACTCACATTCATTGACAGATGTATAATTAGGACGTAGCCGCTTCTTCGCTCCATCAGCCTGTACAAACAAATTCGGAAATTACGGGAAATTTGTCGATCACATGTTGGTTCCAGACCTCAGCCGAAACTTCTGCTTTCTGGAAGCTCAGAATTTCTAATTCAAAATCGACAGTTTTTTCATTTTTGTCCAGATGGGTGGCGAACGAATCGTGGGGTAGAATGATTCCACCAGGGTCTCTGGAGAGTGGTGCCATGCGTCGTTCCACCAGGTTATTTGCAGATTTATGTGGAGCGCAGTTTGCAATAAATAGAGCATCCAAATCCCAGCAAACGAAATTAACTGCTGTTTATTCCAATGTTTTTGGGAACCTGGGATTGTCATCAGGACCGCCGCAAAATACGATCGTAATTGGCTTAAAGGTTTTATCAGATGTTTTGCATAGACCCTTTAATTCTTCTAGTTTGACTAAATGAGCCAAATCCTCAGCGTGACTTTTAGCAGTACTCGAGTCGTGTATCCCAGACCGAATGGCTATGCAATTAGGCCCGCTGTATGAAACGTGATTATCATAAATCTCTAGGCCGGGGTACACCTAAGGAATTAATTTGTGTCCAATCACCCAATCATGATGTGGAAGTGGAATTTGGTAGCACATTTTCATGAATATTAGCCCAAGTTTTTTTGGCAGCCGGTACACCCAGAAGCACGCGTGATTTGTCGTCTTGAATGATGACACTCACGATCTTCGGTCCAAATTGAGTAGCAAAGTCTTTTAAGTACTTAATTTCGACGGCAGCAAAATGAGCATCTTGATATGATGCACGTACAGTATTTTGAGCCTTGATCAGTTTCGCTGGTACAGTTGTCACGTGAGGCTTTCCTTCAGTAGTAGAACAATTAAGCGGCAAGGGCCTCAGGTAGAGCCTACTTCTTCTAATATTGAACCCTAATTAGAGACAAAGCACATTAGAAAATATTTAAATTGTGTAGTAAATAATTGAGCAATTGCAAATTTACCGAGTAGTCTAATTTCTAATAGAAGATTATCCAAAGATTTTACTGTTCTCAAAGTTCCACTTCGCCGTTTGTCGTCGGCACCACTGTGGCAGTCAACGATTGGGATTATCCTGTTTAATATCTTAGCCAGGTTGCTCAATGTATAGTCTTGGTCGTCCAACTTGTTTCGTCCAACATCATCAGCAATATTAGGGTGCTTGGCCTTGACGTACTCGTACTTTTTCTCGGGAAGATTTTGGCTAGCTCCTTGTGAATCTCCCAATCGTTTAAAATTGTCCATCTTCATTTCTATACGTTTCCGAAAATCGCGAAGCCGTTCAACTTGTTCCTTGGATAAGAGCAGTCCACTTTCCTTTGCTTTCAGTAAACGAAGAGGCTCGCCTCCTTC